GGTCATCTGTACTATTGCTTCCTTTCATATATGTTTGTTCTATAAACTTAAACTATTATCTTGATCCATGTTAAGTGAACCAAATGAAATGGTTCTCATTTACTGATGATATAAGCGAATTGATATTTTTTGTAACCAATTTTGGCCTCGACTGGGAGTTACATGTGCAATGGTTATCATTTGAATTTGCAATCTAGCTAGGTTTCCTAAAATTACATCACACAATCGTAGTCACGGGTCATTATTTGGTGTCAGGCGCATAATTGGTGGAGCTCAGGTTCATATCAATAACTGTCACCCCTTAACTGTTGAAAATCGTAAAGTGATATTTCTTGAGTGATTAAGTTCAATGATTGTATTTACCTAAATAGACTACTGTAGTTCATGTACTTGGTATTTACCAGTATCAACTTCTGTTGTTATGGAGGTCTCTGAAATTTACATGCAACGGAACATCAACAGAAAGCTTCAATGAAGCCATTAGCAAAAACAAAAATCACAAGCTTCTCCCACTATGTTCTCATAGTCGGTCCCAATCCTAGATATAGGAGGAGGATTGTTTTAAGCCCTTGATAACCAAGATAAAACATTGTCACATTTCTCATGGAGATGAAGTCTAAAACATTCACAGCTAAAGCTTTGATGTTGGTCCTATGAGTAGTACTGTACCAGACTACTAGGATATCTGATAGAAGTCTAAAAGTTCACACACAGGCTAGCACAGTCTTATTCAAGGAAAGGTCAACCCCCACCCCAAAGTGTATTTTCATTTAAATTCGTGAACATACACTGCCTATTATTTGCTGTATTTGTGACAACTGGTTAGTAACAAAAATCCTGAATAAAGTTGGGAACTGCACCCCCTCTGCATCAGCAGCTGAAGATAATGAACACAAGCCGCTGGAAGCCATCCATAGATGCCATTTACTAATTACGGTTAGTACATCAAACACAACTAGATACCCCAATAAACCATGAGAAAGACGTCAATTACGATTTTCATGAGCTGCAGCAAACCACTTTTTCATAACGTCTTCCTCGCTCTCAGGTCCTCCAATCCATCGTCGCTCAGTAGGTATTCATATTTGTTTCTGATACGGACCAAGGTAGTGTAGAATGCCTAGATTCCACATCGGGCAGTATGGGTTTCCAATATATAAGATACTCATACAAGTAGCTCTGTCACCTCGGTATTTAGCTTTTGAAGGAAAGCTTTCTGTCCTGCTTGAGCGTCTATCAGGCCCCCTCTAATTAGTTACTATTTTTAAATTAAAAGTATACGTTCCTGATCCCTTCCATATGCAAGTATACTGTGCTATTGATTGATGGCTTTTATTTTGATGCAAACTATAACAAGAATTGGAGTTGTGCTGAGTTTTAATGCTTAGGGAGCTGTCCAGTGGGGTCCAAACTTTATTGTGATTTATCCTCAAAATTTTCTCAGTTATATTCAAAACCTTGTAGGAGAATGGCCACTCAACTGTGTATACTTGGATTTTGAGCACGGGCTGGTGGGAAAGCCGAGCACCAATTAACCCAGATGCTGTTGTTGTAGTTGCCTTTTTATGCACATGCTTATATGGTGGCTTTTTTTACATTAACAGGTGCTTGTTTCTACATTCTTCGTGTTAATTATCAAGTTATATGTTGTGGTGTTGACATTTTCTTTCCCCTCGAAGACCATGCAGAGTAAATTCATCAAAATCCTTTGTGAAGAAGTCGCATCAATCACTGCTACTCGTCCTGTTTATAGCTTGCTTATACTGTTTATGGTGTGCAATTCAGATATACTTTATCAATCCTCGTCGTCCTGCAGTTGGGGAAGAGGCTGATCTTGGTGTGATAGTTTTTTTAGCCACATTTTTCTTCCTACCCCATGGTTTGTGTATAATGTCCATGCACCCAAATGATCTTCACACAGATCAAATTCCTCTTTAATTGTATTTGCATCTTACTGATAGGATATGAAATAATGATTAATTAATATTTTAGATATTTCGGATGTTTGGCATTAGCAAGGAATATTCGGTTTTTGATTTGATTTGACTGTTACTTTTTATCATTCGTTGTTATTTGCATTTAATTTAGGATTCTAGAATGGGCCTAAGAAATGTTGGTTGGCTGATAACTTTAACCCAGACCCAGTAGTTGTTTTGTTTTGGTCAGAACCCACCGGGAATTGAAGAGTGCTTCTTTTGGATACATTTAGTATTTTTCACTTCATTTTTACCTTCTTTTTTCCATGATAAGTCATGAACACACCATCAATCAATATAAGATATGGAATCTGTAATAATTTACACTAGTTATGAGTCATGAATCATACGACTCATTCATTCATGAAACTTCATGTTATGCATAGGGACCACATTTTATTTATCTTAAAAATTGAGAGAAATTAAGAAAAAAATCATTCTCAACAAAAACGAGGGAGAAGTTGATTACGGAATAAAATAGATGAAATAACGCATTTAGGAGCTACAACTAAAAAGAAAAAAGTAGAAGGACCTGGCTAGGTAATTGTAAAAATTAAGTTTCTGTCTCAAAAAATTGTGTTGGATATTGATTAATTCGAGTTAAGCAATGAGAAATTTAAGTAAGCCTATAATAGAAAAAGATTTATTAAAATAAGTTCCTTGATTTTTAGTTTTCACCAGAAGCAGGGAGAGAGTGGTTACAGAAAATTACTCGTGTTTTCATACTTAGAAGCCTTTTTCAGTGAAGATTAAGGGGACGTGGACACCGAGAATCAACTTTGAAAGCTGAGCTTTACTTCTTTATTAAATGAAGAGATGTCCAACACATTAGTCAAAAAATGCGACGCGTTCACTTTCCCTTTTAGAAAGTTTAGTTTATTGGAAGTTACATTATTTGATGTTCTGTATATAGTACTCCTCCTATAAAAATATAAGACCCAATTTTTGAATTGGTTTTGATCCTAAATATAAGACCTATTTATCATATTTATTAATTTTCTCTAAATTACCCTTATAGATACTCCATCAGCCATAATCAAGTAGAAGAGGAAGATGAGGTATTAAGAAAGATGATTATGGTGTTTTAGGAAAAACGTGTCGCATTTTTTATAATTAATTAACTTATCTAACTTCCTTAATCTAATCAAATTAGTTAAATAGGTCTTATATTAAAGACATGAGGAGTACTACTTAACGTGACTCTCAATAATTTTCCCTCGCGCGCGCGCACACGCTGATCTGGACTTACACTGTTACACATATATCAATGGACCCTTGTTAATATATACGATTTTAAGCCTTTTTATGTGCTCTCAAATTAATCCAGAAAATAAAATAGTATATATTTTGTAAATTTATAGATAAAAATTAAAAAATCAAGTAAAAGCTCCTGCTTAAAAATTTTATTAGCTAAAATAATCTTGTATGTTTTAACACACAGAAAGTATTGTTACGATTTCATAAATTCAGATAAAATTTTTAAACATAAACTCTTTACTGATTTTTCATAAAAGATATAAAGTAAAAACGTTAGGGAGGCGAGAAAGTTAAAATGAAACAGACAAACCTTTTTTTTTCTTTTAACCACATTCAAAAAGTTTAAATATAGATCACTGCCTTTCTTCTAATTCTATGCTGCACCAATCCACCTGGTCAAGATGTTTTTTCAAGGGTGAGTGAGTAACCATATACATCTCCGAAAGAAAGGCAAACACAGAAAAGACAAATACAGTAAAAAGGGTAACCATTAATCTAACAGCAAGAAAGTTCATGATAACAAGTTTACTGTCATTTAAGTTATTTGTAAAAGTTCAATGATTAAAATTTTAAAATTATGAAAAAAATTACAGTTTAAAATGAAAAATCAATATTTTTATTAAATATACTTCAAAATAATTTGAAAAAATTACACACGCCCGCACACAATCAAGTTATTAAATTAATTGAAATTAATTTACTTAATACGGAATATTGACTTTCTTTAAGATGAAAACTACTATTGACACAATCCAAAATGTGATTTGGTAGGTTGAATTGATATTTTTGATTATAACAAATCTTAACAACCATCTCCTTGGACATTCAAAGGACTATTTCTCTTTTCTCAGTTGGCATCTTCAAAGCAAACCCTTTTCTTGTTATCTTCCTGTTTTCTTCAATTTTAGGCCAACGCAGTCGAACTTTCTTGGGAAACAAAATCAACATAACAGCTCTTATTAAAAATAAATAACCATTCCTTTCATGCTTGAAGACTCACAAGTGCTGCATAAAATGTTGCGATTTTTTAAATTTTCTTTTCATTTAAAGTACAATATACATCTAGAGTTCAGATTCAGATTCAGATATATGATATGTTGTTGGCTAGGCTCTCTGATGTCTATTTCCCCTCTGACATCTGATTCACTATTTCAAATATTTTCACTATAATCTAAACTAATTAATCCCAGTTCCCGGCAAATTAAAAACTATATGAAAACCAGATTCTTGGGTTTATGAAAGTGTGAGTGGAATATTGCTCTTCATCATCGTTTAAAGAAATTGATCTTTGAGTCGAATATATATAAACCAATTATTTCATAAACTTAAACAATCTCTGAAATGACGTGTCATTAACCTTGCCAAGTCCCTTACGACCAGCTGGAATATATTAAACTTTACTTACTTTCATAATATTAAACAGTTTTTAGGAAATGAGATTTCATATATGGTAGTACGTATGTGATTACTTTTTCCAGTACAATATACACAGTGAAAAGTCGGCAAGAAAATTGATTAATAAGTATCCCTTGTAATGATTTACTCAATGCCAATCGTTTAGATACAAGCAATGAATTTAGTGAGACAAGTAGTAGTGTTTTTGAAGGAAAACACAAACTTTGGGGGGACAGCAAAAATGCAAAATTTCTCAAAAGTCCAGACACATCGATGACATCTCACTTGACGAAGATTATTGTCGGAATTTGCATAATAATGTTGTCGGCATATTAATTACTGTTGAATACGCTTAAAATGCTGAACAAGCTTAATTGGTCTCTTTTCCCGTAATTGACATCAACATTCAACTCCACTTAAGTACTGTTCTTGGGCTTCATGCTGGCGACACTTCTCGCAAAAGATGGCAAGCAAAAGGCAGCAGAATGAACCTGAAAACGATGAATAAGTTAAAGGAGAAAGAAGACAGATCAATGAAAAAGGGATGACCTGTAATTAATACTCCTCCGGTCCTTAATATAGGGCCCAATTCTTGAGTTGGTTTTGGTCCTAAATATAAGACCCATTTCTCATATTTATCAATTTTCGCTAAATTACCCCTATAGACACTCCCTTAACCATAATCAAATAGAAGAAGGAGATGAGGTATTAAAAAAGATGATTATGGTGTTTTAGGAAAAACGTGTCACTTTTTTTATAATTAACTAACTTACCTAACTTTCTTAATCTAATCAAATTAGTTAAATGGATTTTATATTAAGGCTCGGAGGAGTAAATTGGTTCGGGGGTTTGATGATGACGTACCTCAGAGTTGTAGAACTTCAAGGGTTGCTTGGATATGCCATAGTTTTGTGGGTCTATGGGGTTTATTGGACATCTGAAGTCCACGTATGGGCCTTCTGTGGAACAAAGCAAGAACCCTATGACCCCACTGAAAGTAATTAATTAACTGCTTGGTTAGGATTCATTCATCCACAGACATTAAATGATTGAAAAGACTACCTGCTAAGGTAATAAAGAGGCTGGGAGATATAATAGATTCGATTTGTTAAATCAATTACAAGGTTCATTTGTGGTCATTCGAGAAGGATGAACAATATTAAGACATTGCTATTACTGATTTATGATTCTGCAAGTATTTTGGAACGGTTTGGCAAGACATTGTTATTATGATTAGAGATGGATGAGATGAAAATGATTTGGTGAGATGATGAGAATATATTAAAGAGACAAGCACGTGATGAGAGATGAATATTAAGAAGGTTAATTAATTTGCCTTGGATAAGCAGGAACAGTGGTCCAAGCATAATCAATGGAGCCTTTGAAGATTTGGTGGCATTTGGAGAAGAGCTTCTGAATGTCTAGTGAGCCACACCATAAGCTCTCTGCTTGAATGCAAACAACTCCTCCTCCTCGTAGAGCTCTCGATGCCACTTCAAAAAACTCTGATTCGAATAGCTCATGATCAGCCCCTGCACCATATAAGAGTTTAATTAATTACAGAAACAAACAGGTATGTGTATGTCTTTGTACATATCAGACAAACAGGTATAGCTGCATATATACTTATTGGATCGAAGGCGTCTACAATTATTGCATCGTAGCTGCCTCTTTCGACAGATTTCAGAAACAAAGTTCCTGCACAAATTATTAAAGTTTTAACACCAAACCAAAGTTAATCACAAACTTAATAATTAAACACACACAAAAATGTGTATGGGACGTACCATCTGTGACATGAAGCTTCACTCGAGAGTCCTTGTATCCAACAGCTACATTTGGGAAATATTCCCTGTACACCTTCAAATTCATGAAACTATAAATTAATTTGATGTTTTCCAATGTTGTGTGTATATTTTAGAATTTAGAATTCTAGCTAACAACGAGATGCTGCAGAATAAGAGCAAGCATGAGGATAATTGGCTTACATCAATCAGCATAGTGTCTATTTCACAAATGTCAATTTGCTCCACAGAAGAGTGGCGGGAAATTTCTCTGAGGATGCCGCCATCTCCCCCTCCTATAAGCAGTACCTGAAACATGATTCAAATTAAGGGGTATAAATATCAGAGAGAAGCTGTCTTCGACAGGCTTTTAGTACGTTATTCTGTACTAAAATTGATGATTTCCTGTTTCTGATAATTTCTTGTATATCTCTGTGTCTACTGAGTCGTCCAACCTTTTTTGGGTTAGGAATGGAGCAAAGAGGAAGGTGGGTCATCATCTCTTGGTATGAACATTCGTCTTTCTCAGTGAGTTGGAGAGCTCCATCCAACACAAAAACTTTACCGTAGGTTGCTGACTGCAATTCAAAAAGAAAAAACAAAAATCTATACTCTCAATATGCAGATTACCTGCGCACGGATTTCGTAATTAAATATGTATTGATCAAAGTATGCTATACACACACATGTACGATGCAATTGGATTGTGTCTGCTTCAAAAGCTACAATTTAGCTTGTCACGTTACGTTGATAAATACCGGAAGAAAGCTTGAATTTATGATTTTTTTTTCCCAACTCAACATAAGGGTAAATACAACCAAGTAATTTTACTTTTGAAAGCATGCATATTTTATAGAAGTTCAACCTCATTGATAGTTGATGTAATTTATTTCCAAATAATGATTGGCCTAAGGAAAAAGGACAAAAAAATACATGAGAAATTTCAAATTGACAAATAGGTGATTTTAATAGATTTTAAGTAATAAAAACCATTACAAGTATAGTCAAAATCATTATAAAAGTAATCGGCATGATCTATTTGTTTTTTTCAAAATCAATAGGTATTTTTTCTCATTTTTTCTTGAACTAATTGAAATGTGTTTAATATTTCTTTAAAGCCAGAAAATGCATATAATATGCTAAGTGAGAGCTATTAGTATCACCTGAAATACCAGCATAGATTGGTACTGGGACTTGCCTTGGAACAAAATATTTTCAACCTTCAAAAAGTGTGCTTGCCCTGCGACATATTCTATCACCTTGGTTATAACTTTATGAAAAATTTTCACCTTTGCGAAACTTTTCTTCCTGATTTTTCAATATTCCTTCTTTTCCACGGGATAAGATAGGGAAAAAAAAAGATTGAAAAATAAAGCAGCTCCTTGTGATGAACTTTTGAATAATAAGGAAGAAAGTGTCATTCTTTAACGTGTCACACGTTAAAGAAAGGAACTTGACTATTTGAGAAATAAACATGAATACGTGTGGTTGAGTACATATATCAATAAAGGGGAAAAAAGATAAGTATCAAATGGTTAAAATTAATATAGAAACATATTGACGTAAAATTCAAGAAGACATCACGAATGATGATTTATTTATTTAGATTATTAATTTGAAATTGATTATATTTTCATTCTCACTGAACACCAATTAATGATAAATTATTCACTCAATAAAAAATAATTTAAAATTCATTAAAATTGCATACACAAAAGACTGAGTTTTAAGAAACCAAACATGCAAACAAAATGTAATATGCGTCAGTCCGACTGAAAAGGCCTAGAGGAGAACACTTATTGTGGACTTAGAGCTAGGAGCGTTTCCAAAATTAGACGTTCCCATTTTCAGCCCTCCGATAGATATTTTCTTATACTCCATTGATGTAATAGTGGTGATCACTAACAATTGCACCAACTTGAAAGCTTTTAGAGAAAAGGGGAGAGGGAGAGAAAGTTATTTTATATATATATATATATATATATATAATCCCACCTGGCCAGATGGAAGAAAACTCAGAAAACCATCCATCAGGATGAACATGATGATTGGCGGAGGATTCATCATCTTCTTCTGAAGCTGTGATCCTCAGAGCAGAGAAGCCATTCTTACCATTACTCATTACACCAAGAGGATGAACCTTGAAACTCACGCTATCCATGGCGTTTTACAAGAGAAGACCCTCTCGACCGGACGGCGTTTTCAAAATGTGTATATCTTTGGATCTCTAAATCTAAAGGCTCAAATCTTAAATAGCCACGAATATACCGTAAAGTGGGAGGAGAGGGAACTGTTTGATATCCAAAAAGTGAAATTCACTTGATTATGTTCACATATTTAAAGTAAGAAGAACAACATGAGTAATCATTGGGTTGCAACTTCTCATGAAGATTTCAACAGGACATGGTTTTGCTTGGTGGTTACAGGTCTTCATTTTTTAGCCATCATGTTCATCATGCTGCTTCCGTTTCTTTCGCTCTTTTAGCATTTTTATGCCTGGGCTTGCAGGGCCTGTCCAAGGTTTCCCCCGTATTTGGGCCCTAGAATGGGCTTCATAAGCCCAAAACCTAAGGGCCGCCTGACTTGCTGGTGCAAATCGGCCCAAGTTAACTTGGGTATATATTAGGTAGAAAAGAAAATTCCAAGTGTCATATCAATGTTAATAATATTCATTTAAATATTATTAATTCCCCTTGACGCATTGCCCTAATGCTAAAGATGCTCTTCAAAATAAGGAGGAGGAAAGAGGGGCAGGGTGGGGTTCACTCAAATCAAGGATATGCTGGTTTAGCCCTCTTTGTGGTAAAAAATGTTATTAATCGCAGAATCAGATAGGAATGAGACTAGCTAAAGTTGCAAGGTGAGCATGATGTTTTTTTTTTTTTTAATTTAGTTTAGGTTTCTGATGATGATTGTGTAGTTTTGACGTTTTATACAAGGAAAGTGCAGAATATGTTGTGATGAACAGCAGAAAGAATATAAGATTATATTGTAGGGTGAAGGTGTCGGCTGCAGATTTGAGAGAGAGTGCTACGTGTTGGTGTTGGAGGAGCTAGAGAAGCAATTGATGAATATGACTTTGGAAAGAAATTAAAAAAAAAAACAGAGAGAGAGAGAGAACAAAGCAAGCATGCTGCTCGCCCTTTCATTTGTTTTTTTAGTTTGTATTCTCCGTAATTATATATCATCAAACAGCTTTCATGCTTGCATTGCTTGGTCGCCATAGATTTCAAAAGACACGCGTTTGTTTGCTATCTCATATCCTATTCCAATCATGGATGTGTATGAGTTATATATATCGTATATGTCACGTCTAATTAATTGTAGCAAATTGTTCTCAATCTTAGTAGAAAATAATTATACTTAAGGAAGAAGATTTATTTTTTCCCCGGCACGCAAGGTTTGAACGTTATACACATATCTTACGAAAGGATTTCATAGTTAGACCGCATCATATTAGCTGAAACAACAAGATATTTCTTAATTAATAATGAACGAACAATACTTTATTTACTTCAGTTGCATAACAAGCCAATCGGCTAGCATACACACACACACACACAACTGGCGACAAATAACATCTACTTTTTGCACTTGGGTTATCAAGTAATATAACTTTCCAATGAGTCCGTGCTTGCATTGAAATATCATAGCAGGTAATTAAACCAAGAACACCGCCCCCCAACCCCTCAAAAAAAAAAAATTAAACAAGAAGAAGAAGAAGCATCACTAGCGTCCACTGATATTATGGGAATAATATTTCATTTACCAATGCCACGTCATCACCGCCGGTGCCACGTCATCGTCTTCGGCCGCCACATCATCACCGTCGACCTCCACGTCATCGGTGGCCACATCATCACTGCCGACCGCCACATCATCACTAGCCACCTCCACGTCATTGCCACATCACTCCTCCTCACCACGTCATCGTCTAAATATTTTCACCTTAAATGTGTCTTCTTCCAGGTTCGAACTCGTGACCGCCTCCTTTCATGTCCAACCTTCTTACCGCTGAGCCAGATTGAATTTGTTTATTAATATTGTAAAATAAAATATATATTATTATATTATACTTTCAGCGGTGACAAAAAAAGTCGCCGCTAAAAGTCTACTTTCGGCGGCGACAAAAAAAGTCGCCGCTGAAGGTCCACTTTCGGCGGCGACACTTTTGTCGCCGCTGAAAGTCTTGGTTTTAATGGCGAACTTTCAGTGGCGACTAAAAAAGTCGTCGCTGAAGGTCGACTTTCAGTGGCGATACTTTTGTCGCCACTGAAAGTCTTGGTTTCAATGGTGAACTTTCAGCCGCGACAAAAAAAGTCGCCGCTGAAGGTCCACTTTTAGCGGTGATACTTTTGTCGCCGCTGAAAGTCTTGGTTTCAATGGCGAACTTTCAGCGGCGACTTTTTTTGTCGCCGCCGAAAGTCGTCGCCTAAAGTCTGTGGGTATTAAGGAAAAACATTCGCAACCTACGACCCAAATAAAGTACCCAGCGTTGTACGTGTGCTGGCGACACAAACAAGCAAAAGTATGCGTACCAACCTATCCTTAATAATATTGCGCTGTGATTATACCATGAAGCTTTCGTCTCTTTGTACGTTTGCTTGTCTGACCAAACCCCTTTGACTGCTAACCTTCTTCGTGAGGTTAACTAATTATACGATACGAGTTTGTGGCCGGAAAAAGCAAAGGCCCTTGCTCAGCTGTTAGAGTATTTTTGTGCCACCAACGGTGCTGTGAAATGTAGACGCCGGTGTCTTCACAGCCGAAGCGGGGATACTTGGGCAAGTCCAGGCAGAAATTAGCTAGCGAGTTGTTGGTGATGGATATTATAGGACATATAATAATTTCTGGTGTTGAAGTGAATGATTGAAATGGATGAACAGGGATCGGATCCAGAACATGGAACCATCAAGCAAGGTGATGATGCGAGGATATTATTGAGCTAGGGTAATTAAATGGCTAACACAATCACAGATCAAAGCCTAGCTATTTGATTCTAGAAATTAATTAGTTTGAGTGATTTATTATTTTAGAATTAATTAATTGTGTTGGGTGGATTCTTAATCATGGCTTAATTGTAGTAAGCTAAATTAGGAAAATGTTGTTTTCATACCAAATTAAGACTTTAATATTACTAACTGTGGGGCAAGATCCCATAATCTCCAAAGCACTAAGCCTCAGCAATACATGTCAAACCCCATATTATGGCCACAGGCGCAACAGCCAGTAAGCAACTTCATCGCTTTGACTGACTTTTTTTTTTAATTTTTATTTAATTCCAAATCCGACATACGTGCCCGGAGGCACCGACCATCACCCATTCAGTCTGCCAGTGGGGACCATCCAATCACCACAACGGATTAGTATTACTGTGTTTCATATAATGCGATTGTTACAATCTGATTACTGATTTCTTTTTTCACAGCGTATTAATAACATGGTTTGTTTTAAATGTTATATTTGACATTATTATTAAACTTTCAAGACATGGCCATGAAAGCTTGTTGATGTGGAACAAGAAGAAAGGTGAGAAAATGAGGGGGGAAAAGGAAATTAGGGAAGAATAATAAGAAAGGCGAGAAAGCTGAGAAAAAATAAGTCTACAACTTTAATCGTATAATGCAGTCATGAATTCTAGAACTAATTATACGAAAACAATAATAAAAATAAAAATAATAAAATACTGATAAATCTAAATAAATCCTTACAAATCTAACTAATCTAAATATTTTAGATAATTCAACTATTCAAAGAATAAAATAAAATTAAAATAATATAAGTTCTAAATATCCGCCTCATTTGTTTAATTAACAGACCCTCAGTGGTGAGGTCCCTCTTGTTGATTTTATTGTAGAGCTAGCCATCATCTTTCTCGCATTCTCCTCCTCAACCCTTAGTCGCTGTACTGGTTCAATAGAGATGGTTTCGATGGGAATGACCACTATTACTATTAGGTTATACTCAATCTACTCGTAGTAGATTAGGCCCCGAGCATAATTTAGGTAAAGGGTTAAAGGGAGTTTTTATTTATCATCATCATCACCAGTGCTCCGATTTCGTGTGGGCAACCTAATCGAACAAATGGAATCTGGGTACGCCTCAAAATTCTTTGGATACAATATAATGGCTAGTTTCATTATAGGGGGGATAAGGGTTTGAACTTTGAAATGGGGGCAAAGTTGTCATTTCATTCTTGCAAGTAGGGGCACAAAGTTTATAAAATTTGGATTTCAAGGAATTGGAAACAAGCTCGTTTGATAGTTGTGTGAAGGAGGAAGCAGACGAGTAATGATGAAATGCAAGAATTTTATGGGAAAAGGATAATACGCCATCATATACATACAAGCTCCCTAGATCCCTGGTAGTTCAAACTTCAAAGGTAGGTGGGAAGTTACGTATATGCGTCAAGTCGGTACATTTGTATGCATGTACTCGTCTGGTCCTATTTATAAAGCGCTTCCAGTATGTTTCACATAAACCAAGAAAAAACTTAAACTTTATTAATTCTCATTTAAGATTTAATGACTTTCTAACTTTATCCCTATTTAATATGCATTATACCTCATATAAACAAAGTCAACACAATAATAAATTAGGGATAGAATTATACATCTATACAAAAAATTCTCTCAGTGCCTTATAAATAGGACCAAAAAATATCTTCTCTCTTTACCTTATAAATAAGACTGGAAGAGTATGTATGTATGGTGCCTTCATACGAAGAATCAAATTATGGCAAAGCAAACATGAGATAGAATGTACGGTGCGGGAATCAAACGCGTAGATTACGTACTTAACACTCACATCTTCCTTGTCGTTATTTATATATAATCATTATATTTACTACTAATTATTCTTTCATTAATTAACTGGTGCGTGTGGTGTGCAAGCAAAACATAACCCCAAACGATCCATATATGTGTGTGCTTTGTTCCAGAGAGTGACACATTGCAGATATGATGACATTAATGACTGGCTACGTACACAACATTTCGTTATATATGACAAATATTCAACCGCTCAATAGTTTAGTTTAATTGCCATCATCATCACCATTTTATCGTCCTTAATTGTCATAATATGTGCTAATTTAATTAGGTGTTGTGTCAATTGCATGGATATATAATATTTGTGGTGCATAGGGGAAACGCGTTGTACTGGGCACTCCGTGATTGGTCCACGTGATTTCCCGTGCACATCATCCTTTTTGAATTCTTTGACATGTCCAAATACAATATAAAATAAGGTGCAAAATATTAGTTTGATTCATTCATTCATCCATTTGTCGCCACAAATCAGTCGCCTCCTGGGTTGCTGGCAGGAAAACTCAAACTGGGTTATCTCCATATCAGATATCTTAATGCTTTGACGTGACAACCGTCCTTTTCCACGTAATTGCATAGCAGCGTTAGTAACCGGTCCGGTTTATAGTCTTGTTATTAGTCCTTCTAATTTAATTTGAAGGAATTTTTGTTTTAATTTCTATATATAAACTCAGACAAAATTCTTATGAAACTGTAGAAACAATCTAAAATTACAGGAAAAAAATTATTTAAAAAATCAAATTGTGAAGACCTGCAGTGACATTAACCTTACCTTGTTCATTAGCGTGACATTTGGGAAACTTAGCTTAATTTCGACACCTCCAATTCTATTACAAGGACTAATATAAATATCCATATGCTAAGGTTACCCTCGCACTATGTGCACACACTTCTTCAATCCTAATAAACGCGCATACTTCTTCAATTTTAAATGTACGTATAATCAAACTTATATACATATATATTATTAACAAAATTAGTTGAGTTACTTAGTCGTAATAAATATGTTTTAGTTTTTTTTATAACATATACTCCAATCATTTGTATTGGAAACTACTTCTATTAATGAAAACTTCTTTTATATGTAAAATCAATGAAACAGGAAAAAATTATAAATTTAAAAGATAACATGTATTTAGTCTTGTACCTACGAGATTTCTATATTAAAGAGCGGCAAGAGTAGTATATATATACATATACATATGTGTGTGTCACATTTATTCTCCTTTAAGAGACAACAGATTAATTAGAAGATGCCCTCACAATCAAGTATACCTAATTCCATAGCGATACCTCCATCAACATAAACGTTTACCCCATCCAACAACCCAAGATCATCGGTTTCATAAATATCTATGTAGTTTAATGATGTTCATTTTTTTCTGGCCAGCTACTGTTCAATATTAATATATAGTATCTTATAATGTTGACTTGTTTATTAATTACTCCTCCGTTTCTTAATATAGGACCCAATTCTTCAATTGGTTTTGGTCCTAAATATAAGACACATTTATCATATTTATCAATTTTCTCTAAATTACCCCTATGGATACTCCCTCAACCATAATCAAGTAGAAGAAGGAGATGGGGTATTAAGAAAGATGATTATGGTGTTTTAGGAAAAATGTGTCATTTTTCTTATAATTAACTAACTTACCTAACTTTCTTAATCTAATCAAATTAGTTAAATGGGTCTTATATTAAGGACCAGAGGAATACTTTATATATAATTCCAATTAACATCAGACATTATGTGTGACGCTTGACCTTGTTTTTGCGTGTAGAATTCTGTTTCTCTAATCCAGTATCATACAGCGACGGTTTTCATGTGAATGAATATCATGAAATTAAAATATCAAACAGTTAATTTATGAGATATTTGTATGTGTACATGTGTGTTACCAGTGATGGGATATTGCTTATCCAGGCCCCTAGAAAAAAAAAAAAAACTCAAGGTAGATCAATTTATATAATATTTTAACTTTTTTTTTAAAAATATCTAGTTTTTGTCTGTCTTCATATATATAGAGATGAGACAACAATCACTATACACTCAATTCTGTATAGTGAAATTGCCGTGGATTTTTCAATTGGTGAATCCTTTTCTTCCAGCCTCTGCTTCCGCGAAAGGATAGTGGGTATGCGTGGAAACAGCAAGTGATCAGCGTTGCAGAAACTTGAAATGTGAACCAATACTGCTACCAATCAATGATGAATATAATTAATGCTAATTGAACTATATGGAGACTGGAAAGAAAAACAAGAGGCAGCGCTAGGAGAATTGTGACGAAACAACAGGACCGGAGGATGCATGGTAATAATACAATGATGACAAGTCTGATTAGAGAAAAACAAACGAAAACTGAGGATCGGATCAAATTGGGTGGAAGAATTGGTGGCGTCCATTTAGTGGTAGGTGGGCAGAGGCATTATTAATTAATTATATTAACAAGAAATGGTGTGGTAAAAATACACGTCATTAGGGCAATGATGATGATGATTAAGGCCCTTTGATTCAAAAAGTATTAAAGATAATAGTATAATTATAATTATGCATGCATCGGATTGGTTTTATATGAAAGTGACTGGGTTCCAAGGCTTGGGTGAGATTATCAAGTATTGGTGAGAACGCGTTTATGTGGAGATTCAGGGGCGGTAAGACAGACGTCCCCACCTCATACGTCCACGTGTGTTCTCTGTCACCTCCCCTTGACCTTGACCATGCATCATCCGTCTCTTTACTTGTTTTACCCAATTTTGTTTTGTACCATTCTAGATTCCTTTCATCGCAAGAAAATCAAATTTCAAATTCCATAAAGAATTAATCTGAAACATTCATGCACCAATTAAAATTATTATTCAAACAAGATTTTATTAAACTCGTTTCTTTTCTTATTCTGTTTATTAAACTCATTTCTTAAAATTAAATTTCCCAGTTCCCTTGGAATTAGTTAACTGAAAGAAAACGGCTTTAATCATGTATGTTGTCAAATTTAATTTTTAGAACCCATGCAAATTCTGTCTTAAATGGTGATGACCTTTGTATTTAAAATTATATTTCAAAATTGTATATCTATTAGTTTTTTTATTTCTTTAAAATAATTTTTATTTTTATATAATAAGTTGAGATTATCATGATTTATTGTGATTGTTTTTATATATTATCTTAACATAAAATTTATCGTATCTGTATTATATATCTTCCATTGAGATTTTTTTCCGAGATGTTGTTTACTAGTTGAGTTATCCATTTTAAGTTATGAGACAATCCCATGTTAATATTCAACTATTTGTTTGATCCTCCTTTAACCTAAAATCTGCTCCGAAACATAATTAAAATATGGGAGCATTTTTCTGTTACGGGGAGTGCTCAGGGGACCTTTTCTAAGTTATTAGAACTTGTGACGAAGTGGATTTTGAAGTCAATATATTTGAATTTCGAATTAATTGAATGATATAATTATCATTATTATTATTCGGTTGACCGGGTGCAGGATACGGTTGGATTGGATTTGGAGGTCGAGATTGATTGAAAGGATGTACGCTCATATCCAGCTAGGCTCCTCCATCCACGTGTCCCCTTCTGCTTCTCCACATCGAACCCGAAGCACCTTGTTTCTGTCTCCACAGCCCGCCACGTGTCCCGAGATTTCCCAGTCAGCGATGCTTCCTATAATAACACCTCCTCACTCTCTGCATGATATCTTCAAGTCGTCCCCTTCATCCTTAAACAAAACCACTTTCCTCTGTTTCTTTCTACCCAAATGACTCGTTACTCCAATCACGACCATCGTCGTCTTCTCTCTTCTCCTGCTGTATTCCCTTGCCGAGACGTCTCTCCCTCCACTCTTCTCACATCTTTGATCTCTCTCTCCCTCGATATCTGTAATTTTCAATCCAGGTTCTTCCCCACGCAGAAGCGCAATGCCAGGGAAATCATACGCCAGGTTAGTATTATCCTCATATTCCTCCAGGAACTTGCTGAAATCCCCAAACAATCCCCTGTTCTCTGCTTCTCCGAGCTCCACTTTAGTTTCCAGAAGATATTGTTCTTGCTTCAAGACTGCACTCGTGACGGTGCCAGATTATGGATGCTAATGAAATCCCAATACGTTGCCTCCGAATTTCGGGTTCTGATTCGTGGGGTTGCCACTGCTCTTGACGTATTGCCTCTTCATTGGATGAAGGTTTGTGGTGAAGTGAAGGAATTGGTGGAACTCGTAGCCAACCAAGCTCGGAAAGTGAAGTTCGAAGTCCCCCGTGACGATGAAGAGAACTCAAAACGAGTTCGTTCAATCTTGCGTCAGTTTGAGAAGGGAGTCGAACCTGACGTAGCAGATATGAAGCCAGTCTTAGATTATCTAGAGATAAAGACTTGGGCTGACTGTAACAATGAGATCGAATTCTTACTAGATGAAATGGATTTCCAGCGCTCTGAATGCGACGAGCGTGAGGTTCCCCTTCTGAGTGGTTTGATCGGATTCTTGAGCTATTGCAGGGGAGTGATATTCGAAACTCATGATTGTCGCAAACACACAGATTTCTCAGAAGGAACGTATAGTTCAGAGATGATTAAATGTATGAACCCAGAGGATTTTCGATGCCCAATTTCGCTTGAGCTGATGATGGACCCAGTAACTGTATCAACAGGTCAGACCTACGACCGAACTTCCATACAAAAATGGCTCAAATCTGGAAACAAAATCTGCCCCAAAACAGGGGCAAAGCTGAAGAACACAGACTTAATCCCAAACACAGCGCTCCGAAAGCTTATACAGCAATTATGCGTCGCCAAAGGCGTTTCCCTGACCAAATTAAACAATCAAAGTTGCGATATAGCGAAGACCATCGTGCCGGGAAGCCCCGCAGCAGCCCACGCCACTCAATTTCTCTCCTGGTTTCTTGCTCGAAGACTCGTTTTTGGAACAATGGAGGAGAAGAACAAAGCAGCATACGAGATTCGTTTGCTCGCAAGGTCCAACATTTTCAACCGGTCGTGTCTGATCCAAGTGGGGACAGTGTCCCCTCTGCTCCTCCTTTTGTCAACGAGAGACAACTCCACGCAAGAGAACGCCATTGCCGCTCTGTTGAAGCTGTCAAAGCATAACAAAGGCAAAGAAGCCATAATTGAGAATGGAGGCCTAAAGTCAATTGTCACGGTTCTCAAGAAAGGATTAAGCCCAGAATCACGCCAAATCGCAGCTGCCATCATATTCTATCTTGCTTCTGTGAAACAACACAGAAAATCAATAGGAGAAAACCCAGAGGTAATTCCTTGTCTAGTTGAACTGATGAAGGAAGGAACAACGTGCGGGAAGAAGCATGCCATGGTCGCTATCTTCGGGCTTCTCTTAAACACGAGTAATCATAAAAGAGTAATTGAAGCCAATACTGTTCAGGTGCTTGTGGATATGCTGACTTCCTCAGAGAAGGATGATGTAGCGACAGATTCGTTAACAGTTCTTGGGGCTTTAGCAGAGAACAGTGAAGGAGCCGAAGCCATGATGAAGGCGTCGGCCCTGCCTCAGATCATAGGGATACTGAAATCAACAGGGAAGAATTCAGGGAAAGAGCACTGCGTTTCGATTCTGCTATCGCTGTGCGTGAATGGAGGAGAAGATGTGATAGGGGTAATGGCGAAAGACCCATCGATAATGGCTTCATTGTATTCGCTTCTCACGGACGGGACTAGTCGTGCTACAAAGAAAGCTCGCTTCCTCATCAGGATTTTACACGAATTTAACGAAAAACCAATCTGTTCGGTTGCTGAACAACAGACTCTTGAAGTTATTGATTTGTTAGGTAGAAATTGAAAAGGGCTTATGTATATAATTATTGGCAAAATTTTGCTTCTTTTTTTTTTTTTTTGGTTGGGAGAAAGAGAAGGGAATTTGTGGAATTAGCTCATGTTTTTTACCTCCAAGGAGCTAATTTCAGGGAGTGGGGCTTTGCATCAGTCCCATTCCATTGCAAAGTTTTGTGTATCCTGCTGTATTCTTTTCAAATGGCCGGTTTGAAATAAACAGATAATTCAGTGGCATGAATTTGGATTCATTAATATCTTATTTCAGGTTGGTTGTTAGTTTCCAGTTGGGAGAAATGCAGAATGCGAAGTTGCGAACCATGTTAACAGATGATGATTGAGCCCATTGGGTTTCAGGACTCACAATTTGGGTTTTAGCCCATTGGGTTTCTATCTCAGGCACTTCTTATGGATTCGACAAACAGTCCAACTTTCCAACCGTATCAGCTATGAAGTGTATTAAAAACAAAAATCTTTGTGCCGGGCCAAAACTCACCCGCTCGGGTCAAGCAGGAGAAGTATTAATCCAATTCCAGAGCTCTATGACCGTCTCGCGCACGACGACTATGGTGACCGGGACATAAATAAAACTTCATTAACCAAACGATGAGCCTGTGAGATATTTTAATTATAAATTTTATATTATATTATATTATTTTGTTTTAATTAAAATATCATGAGTGTGGCCCGTTAGTCAGTTAGGCCCAGTCCAGGTAGAGTTTTAGACTTAGTGCTTTTTAGTCATTTCTTGACCTTGATGGTGGGTTAAGTTTTGACGGATGACTGAGTGAGCATCTGAAGAAAACCTAATACATGGCTCTTGAGATTCCTTGACTGGTGGCGGCTCTTTCCCAGTTCCATCACTATACCCACCTCCCAGTTAGAAGAGATCTTGATGTCTTTTCTACTAATAATATCTAGATAATCTCAGTTATTCTAATCCAGATCAAGAGCAAGAGCATTGTGGATTGCTTTTTCAGACTATCTAGCATGGCGAGAGGTATTTGTAAGTCTTCCGCTGCCACTCTGATAATAGTAGAATTCCATATAACTATTTGGAGAAATATATGTGTTCATATGGATTGTTCTAACATGTGGTGTCAAAACTAGGTTTCTCCTCTGCCTATTATATATGTGTGTGTGTTGAGAAATTTTCTCAGTATCCATTTGTTTTAATATGAATGCATGCGTTTTCGGATCATTGGACGAGAAGAGCTTGTTTTTTCTTTCTCCAATTTACGATCTAATTTGTATTTGAAATTAGATTTTGGATTTGGATATTATGAGCATAATTCTTTGATTGTCACATATTGATTTGCCCATGTTCATCGCCGAAACCACAAAAAAAATAAAAGAGGTTCCAATTTGTATTTCGATTCTTGAGTTGTAAGACCAGAATTTTTACTTTATATTTTGGTACCTTTTTGGTGAAATCTTTTTCGGCATATTGTTCACCGTTTCCTTTGATCTTACTATCGCCAAACTCACTAGACACCATGTTTTGCTTTTGGATTTTCAAAATAAAAATTTTGATTTGTTCTCAGGCTTGCCCTTGATAATATTGTTATCATAATTTGCTGGCCATTGAGTTTTGATCATTTCACTAATAAAATCGTAGGAAAATGGCGTCAATAATACCGGAAATCTGCCTTGAGTCACCGGAAAAAAGGGTTGCCTGAAGTTGCAGGCTGGCGGTCATGAAGGGCCTAACATCTGAGTCGAGTTGGCGAAGTAGGTCGGGTAGGTTAAACCGACTGTTGAGGAAGACAATGAAAACGATACCATTTCAACTTTGGAATGCGTCTTCCATGTGCCCAGAAAATGACATCGTTTTGGCCCAATGAAACTCACAGTTTCACTTAAATGGAGTTTGGGCCAGCCGTTTTTTATTTGGGCTGAATTTTGGGCTTTTGTGTTTTTTTGTTTATTTTATTTTGTGGACCTAGACCTTGAGTTTTTTTTTATCTTAGTTTTTATTTTTTTCCCTTTCGGTGTGGACTCTGTTTAGGTATTTATTTGGACTGTACAATTAATCTGTTTTTTTTTTAAATTTCCAAACTGGGCCTTTATTATTTTTGGGCCATTAGAATTTAACTAAAAGAAAGAGGAGGAACCCTTTTGCACAGTAACCTGGGCCCTCAGATTAAGATTTGATCTTCAGACAATTTTGGTTTATTTTCAGAAATTATTTTTTGGGCATGAAAATTATTTCCAATTTCTAGAAAAACCTAGAACTATTGCTGTCAGGCCAATTTGGTAAACCTCCTGAAAATTATTTGGGTTAATAAACACTATTTAAGTTCTCTAATTTATTATTTGGGACTCTTTTTGGGTTTAGACATGTTTTTGCTTATTTCTGGAATTTTGGCTTTGGGCTCTGTTTTTGTGTTTTGTTATATGGACCAGTTTTATTTTATCTCTAGAAACAGCTTTGGCTAAATAAAATATTATTTAAATTTTCTTTTAGTTATTTAGCCACTTGGTTTATGTATAATGTATTTTATGTGCCATTTAAATTATTTAAATATAAGAGAAATCAATTGGGCTCTTTTTAACATTGGAAAATTTTGCGAATTTCTTTTATGCCTTATTTAATTGTTTAAGTATTTTTTTGGGCAATTATATATTTATTTGAATTTTACAAAATTATATTTGAGTTGAAATATGCTAAATTTGATTTATTAGACAATTTTTGGGTGCATAAAATAGTGGGAGAATTTAATTTTAATTATTTAGCCATTTATGTTGATTAAATTAATTGGCTAAGTTCTCCATTATGTTGTGCATATATAACATTTAAATGCACGTAGTTGATAATTGTGATTAGCATGCAAAGTTGATGAGGAGTAGCCATAGCATCCTCTTATATAGTGCATGGATAAATAATTACACACGGGTCTTAAAATATCAACTACAATCAATGAGTAATTATAATTTGATCACATAAATGTTTAGTTGATTAAATTATTTAGTTGAAATTCTCATCGATGTTGTGTGTATGTGTGTGTATATGAATTTAATTGTACATAAATGATATTAGTGATTAGCACATATATTTGTTTAAGGAGTAGCCACAGTATCTTTATACATATGTTGTGTGCATATTTAATCACACGTGGATTTACAATATCAATTTTGGTTAAATGTACAATTAATACACACAATGATTTGATGTTTTTGTGATGCGAATGTAGAGTTGAGGAGTAGCCACAGCATCCTTACATGTACATTTATTTGTCTTAATAGGTAAATCATCACATAAAGATTTAAAGACATCACTTGTAATTAAATATATAGTTATGGTTAATCTTTGCCCACAGGTAGATAATTATAATTACATATTTAATTAGGGTGGGATAGAAACGGCCTTATGATTTCTAAGTAGCCCACAGGTATTGGGAATCTAAATGCGTTCTAGTCTCACCAATTAGAGAACATAAATTCGTGCTATGCTGAAGTCTTTGCCCGCAGGTAGACTTTAGTGATATGAAATTTATGATTGTACGATTTATATTGGTAAACGTACGCTCAAATGTGATGGTTGATTGCCTCATGAAGTGTTGTTCTAAGTATGATTGAAAGTTTTTTTTTTTGCAGCATTATTGTTATTTTTTTAGTTAGGGACAATTATTGAGCCTAGAAGAAGATAAATGTGACTTCTTCAATTAAATTGAACTTGGCATTAAGAAAGTTTTAGTACCTATTAATACTAGCACGCAAAATGAGATAGTATTATGAGATCAAATTGTCTTAATACAATGATCTCAATTAAAAGCTGGTTGTAGGTACATAATGAATAGAACAAAGTCAAGAATTCTTCATGGACTGAAGGATAAATTTGAGAAATTCTAATAAAAAGTCATTGAATTGTATGCGGACTATAAAGTGATTCTTCATAAAGTGTATTTGCACAAACAATCTCCATTATTGTTGGTGAAAGAGATTATCAATTTATTATCTTATTAGTATTAGCTATTATACGTTTTCATAAATACATGCAAGATTAAGTATTTATTGAAAATGTATATATTAAATGTTTAGCTCAAATTTGAATAAGAATGAGATTTTAAATTAGAGTCATTTGGTCACCAACTTTAAGACCATAAAGTGATATGCATATATAAGAATTATATGCTGATAAAGAAAGGTCTGATTGGAAATAATAATGGATAGATTATTGCCATTGGTGCATTTAAAATCTCATTTTGTTTGTACTAATCATGAGAAAGATTTCTTCAAGTTGTGTGATGCACGATGGTTTCAAATATCATCATGAAAGGATCAAAAGTTTTATCAAGAATGAGATTTAATGATCTCTTAACCTTATTGATTCCAATCTATGTATAGTTTACATTAAGAAATACGTAAACCATCGCACCATTTTAAGAAAGCTTGAAGGATTATGATTAGTAAGAGATTACATGTACCATTATTTATTTTTAGTTTATATTCTAGTAAATGGAATTACATATTTCCCTTATAAGTGGTCTCTTACGAGGTCTGATCATTATTTGCCTTATAATTGTGTAATATCATTTGATATGTACAAGACAAAATTGGATGGTTAATCTGACAAATAGATTAATGCAGTGAGATCAACAAGAGAGATAAATGATGAGTACATCATTGATGGATAATAACCTAGTCTATATGTTAAGTTTCTTCATATAAGAAATCACTAGGTGATGTAGTTGAGAGAAGAAACATAGCATTAATAGACATATTGAGCAGTAAGGTTTACAATTTGATTTTTCTCTCGAGGTACACACTCAAGACAATTATGTATATATTAAATGAGATTTCAACTTAATTTGTATTTAAATTCTTTTAAAAATTTAAAGGGTTGGAAGCTCAACTTATTATATATACTTGTACAAAAATTGTCTTATGAAGGAAAGAGTGTGGAAGGAAAATATTTCTTGAGACTTATATTGCATATTTTGATGAAAATGCATAAAAGTCTCGAGCATTCAAGTGTTTTGTCCATCACATTTTAGTGTAGTATTTTGAAGAATGCCAAATTTATTATGAATGCCATGATTAGTGGGAGTGATCAAACTAATTAAGAGTGATCACATATAAAGAACAACTGTTGATTATGGTAGAACACTGGTTTTGTATGGCACTCACCTTATTAAGGTGAATGTAAAACCATCATTAAGTTCTTAGATTCACAATTGATCATGCTTGAAATTAGGAGTATCAATATTAAGAATTCCGTCAATTATACAAGGAGTATTTGAAAATAAATAAGGGATATTTCAAAATTGATGAGTGATACTCTTTTTCTGCAACTTCAATCTCATTAACAGATTGAGTTTAGATCAATAGTAATTGAAATTTGGCAATTCATAGTGACTATATGATGTACATAAAAGTATTCAGTTAGAACATAAATATAAATATTGAGCATGAACTCAATTTTATATTTCAAAAAATGAAATAAATTCCAAATAAAAGCATTGCTTCATGATAAATATGTGAGATTTCAAGACAAACAATAACATTTGAATATTTGTATAATTGCTAATGTGCAACATTAAGTAATACAAAAGAATATTGTTTGCCGAAGATGTTCTATAGAGAAAAGGAACTCATTATAGTGAGATATTACCTCCTATATCAATGAATAGTTCCCACCATATCTTCATGGTGCTAATGTCTATACTGATTTGGAATATTGTTAAAATCTTTCAATTTTTGACATAAGGAGAGATATATGAATTAGTTAAAAAGGTCAAATAGCTTATACAAGGAGAATTTAGTCTATGAGCAAATCTCACAATATTGATAATTAATATATCATGGTATAATCACATGCATGATCAAGTTAAGAATATCATGGTTTTGTTTGTATCACTTGATTAGTGGGAGTTGGGTCATCTATAATTTGCATTTAGATGATTCATATATTGTTCATATTTAATGACTCAAAGTGTTACAAATGACAGGATAGTCATTGTTCAAAAGTTGTAATATTATTAGTTAAGGTGCGGTATTCCTTTAGAATACATAAATGGATTATTCTCAAGGTACTTGAGATTATCATAAGTAACCTATAATCACAAGTACTTAAACATCTATGAATAGATGATATTTGTCATGTGTAACACACCTAATATGAGGATATGATCAGATTGTCCATATGTCTCTAATGTGATCATCATGTAAAGAAGATGATGAGTATTCCTTCTAAATTAATTGCTAAGGAATTGCGTTGTTTGAATGTGCACAAAATAGACAATGTCATTGCAACGAATATTAGTAGGAGTTACAAGCAAATTAATGCTTGAATGATAACTGAAAAGCTGAAATGGTGAAGTACATTACTAAATGTACATTAAGTATCATGCTTCACATATATGAGTCAATTTTCTTGAATGATTGAGATAGTTCAATTTAGCTGGATGAGTTATCAATAAATTGTTAACATTGTGATACACATCCATGCTTAATGAACAAGTTGCATCGTGAAGGAGTGCAAGATTGCTAAACAATCACTGATTGTTTCCTTCCATCATGAAATATCTCTTATAATCATTTATAGAGGCAAGCTGTAAGATTATTGATTAATAAATTTCATCATAGGGTTTTAAATTATTGAATTAATTTCAAATCCATCAAGGGTGTTTGTTATATGACCATGGATTTAATTGGTCATAAAACACATAAAGCGTAAATCCTTTAAATAAAGAGCATGCTATTAAAAAGGTCAAAGGATCAATATCTTATCAGAGATAGATCACATTTAGTGATCTAGATGAGGTGTTATCAAATGATAAAATTCAAATTGTGGTTTGTTGTCTCAAGTTTGGTACCTGAATTATGTAAAATTAACAAACATTCAAGTTGGAACCGAATAAACATTTAAGGTTTATTTATAAAGTTATAACACATTAAGTAAGGATGCTACTTCTAATACATGGAAGGTAATACTCGACTTAAGGGGACTTATCGCCATGATTCTAGTAGTATTGCCTTAATTAACCTTGACATGTCAACTGACATATTATGTTCGGGCCAAGTGGAAGAATGTGAGATATTTTAATTATAAATTTTATATTATATTATATTATTTTGTTTTAATTAAAATATCATGAATGTGGCCCGTTAGTCAGTTAGGCCCAGTTCAGGTAGGGTTTTAGACTCAGTGCTTTTTAGTCATTTCTTGACCTTGATGGTGGGTTGAGTTTTGATGGCTGACTGAGTGAACATCTGAAGAAAACCTAATACATGGCTCTTGAAATTCCTTGACTGGCGGCGGCTCTTTCCTAGTTCCATCACTATGCCCACCTCCCAGTCAGAAGAGATCCTGATGTCTTTTCTACTAATAATATCTAAATAATCTCAGTTATTCTAATCCAGATCAAGAACAAGAGCATCGTGGATTGCTTCTTCAGACCATCTAGCATGGCGAGAGGTATTTGTAAGTCTTCCGTTGCTACTCTGATGATTGTAAATTCCATATAACTATTTGGAGAAATATATGTGTTCATATGGATTGCTCATATGGATTGCTCTAACAGAGCCCGCACTGTTTTATTGCAGAAAACAGGATGGTTTCGAGCAGACCAGAGCTTCCAACAGAGAAGGCCAAAAGGAACTTGCGACGTTGGATTAATCGTATTGGCTTTGAGATTTTTTCCCCAATCCAGCTGTCAAACGGCAGCAGGTAGAATTGTTGCGGGTTGTCCATGGGAAGGATGAGGTGCCAGCAAGAGGAGGTAAGTTTGCAGGTCCTGAGCGCATGATTCAGGTTTTCTACCTCTCCATTACATAAGTTATAATGATAATTGGCTGGCATTCTTCTTCTGAATCTTTCCTGGTTGGTGAGCAATCGGCCATTCAAGACAAGCCAGAGAAATGTTCTCACCCTTTGAGCACCTGGCCACTTCCATGCGATGCTCCAACGAGAATCTTTGGCGTTCCAATCTGCTTCCATGCTTACATGATAAGCTGAACGGACTGTGAAACCCTTTGACTGGCCGCCGGAGGATCATGGGGGCAGGGAGGCTTGATTTTCGCTATTTGCTGCAACATATCCCGTAGGTAGAAGAGAATCGAACTCACTCCGCTTCCAATCTCCATCTTCCGAAACAAATTGATGCAGAGTTTTCTGGAGTTCTCCCTCATCAAGAGAGGTATGAAGGCGAGATTTTTCAAAGGCCCTTTTTCCCATTCATTCTGACCTTCAAGGTCCTGCAAACTCCATCCTCCACGTGATTGGTGCTCTTGATTCTAGAGTTGATATCTCTTCCCCCCTCCCCCCTTTTTAGCCCCCTTCTTCCTGATTCCCTTCAAAATTAGTGTAATTAAATTTCTTTTAAAAATATTCATTACATTTTTTTCTTTACTTTGTTATAAACATTAATATTTTAAAAAAAATTGTAACATGAATGACTTAATTATAGTCCCATACCACAATGATGATGATGATTAAAATAAAATAAAATTTTAATTTTTGAAAATTTACACAAATAAAAGTTTCACGTGAAAACTTTTTCAATTAACAAACTTGGAAGTTTAAAAGCAAAGAGAAGGCAAGACAATGAATTCCATCATATTAATTGAAATGAAATAGAATGAGAGGTCACAAATTAACACAATTGTTTTTAAAAAAAATGAAATAACAAAAAACGCATTGTAAGTTTGAGATAATGTAATTGTAGCAGTGATAGTAAATGCCTCCCTTAATTTTTTTTTACGATTAAACCATAGTATAAATATGAGAAAGTAGGTGAGTGACGTAACTTTAAACGAGATTCCAAATGGCTTGCCAGCAATTTCTTTCTGGATTAGAGCACTTGTCACCTACTTCATCCCAACGACCCACTTTGGGGCTCACAATCTACTCACTTCTGTTTGGATGCTAAGGAAATGAGAACACACGGCAGACAAAATGAATGGCTCTAAATCAATTCCCAGGCAATGACAGTTTTTATTTTGTCCCTTATCTGCATCGTTTTCTACTTTTCTACCATTCACTTCGCTTTCAAATGCTTTTTTCCAATCCTCCAACGTCCCCTCTCTTTCTTTACGGATATACTTCCACAACCACCTCTGAAAATAGGATTAAGGTTCCATCACACCAACCGCATCTTGTTGACTTGATCCACTATTTTGAAAATATAAACTTTAAAACCCAAAATTGTGGGGAAAGTACATCACCCTCTATTGCTTAGTGAATCTGAAAGAAGAGAGTACTTACCAGGCAGGTTTTTAATCTGATCACAGTGAGCATGCTGGAAACGGTATAATGCAGAGCTTACATGAATGTTAACAAGGCCAGTACAGCAACAATGTCAAGCTGAAATTAACAATAGCCATACCCATAAAACCCAATCCAAGAGGTATGACTGGCACATCCAAATGAATTGACATGTCACCAGTTTTCTCCTTCCTACAACGATTATACCCTCCCAGTTCACTATATAATTCTCTGGTATTTTAAACCATGTATTCTCTCACCATAGATACATGCTCTAATTGTTTGAACAATGAGAAATCATCGTGACCCGATTGTTGTTTTGCACCAAAGAATGAAACTTTTAAGGCCCTCTGTACTTGCGGAAGCAAAGACAACCTTGTTGCTGATCAAGAGGGATCATACCTCCACCTTTTGATGTGTCAATGGCCTCTAACATGGAAACCACCTCGTCCATTTCTGGCCGCTTATCAGGATTGGCATCCCAACATCTCTTCATCACATTTGCTAAAGAACTGGGGCAGCATCTTGGTATGTCAGGTCTCAGGTTCTACCATTTCAATCAACATAAAGAATTTAATTAGAATGGGATTTTCTTTTTTTACAATGAATCCAGAGACAATAATCTGTAATGACAGAAGGCATTATTGTACCTGGCGAACAACAGCCGCAGTGACCTCTGCAAAACTTAGGTCCGGATATGGCATGTCACAACAATATATCTCCCATAAACAGATGCCAAAACTGTACACATCACATTTCCTGTTATAGGGGTTGCCATTTAAAACCTGGAGGCCACCCAATAGACAGTAAGTGAATAATCAATAACATGATGAACTTTCTCTATGATCAACTTTAAAATCATCTTACTTTTCTTTGTGGCATGCTCCTTAACTGTTGTCACATTAAAATTACCAATACAATGCACATTACCCCAATGTCATATGCCAAAGGCTACACTGTAAAGGTTTTTCACATACCTCTGGAGCCATGTATCCAAGAGTACCGGTTTCCCCAGTCATGTCATTAGGATTCGAAGCCTCAACACGTGCAACCCCAAAATCAGCAATTTTGACTGTACTTTTCTTGTCCAGCAGCATGTTCTCTGTCTTTACATCTCTGTGGACAATCTTTTCAGAGTGAAGATAACTCAGCCTGCAAAATAGAGCCAGGTCAATTTGAGTCTATAACTGGATAAGCAAAGAGACAATTGTTGCTCAATCAGATACACCAAAGAAGGGGGGCAATAAAAAATAGGCAAATACCCTCTTGCAAGATCAAGTGCCAGCTGGATGACAACCTTGAATGGTAATTTCCTTCTCCTGTTTTTTATTAGGAAAGTTTTTAGACCCCCAGGAAGATACTCCACAACAACACAACAGGCATTGCCTGGCATGGTAATCAGACCATTTTCAGTTTGTATCTGTAATTCTGACAACCCTGTTGTTGCACCTATAAACTAAACATGCAAAAGAGAAAGCTGTTAACATCCAAATGAAGGCATGACCTTTTCATTATATATGAATGTGTCTGACTGCAAGAAATTAAAAGATAAAGCAGCAATTGTCATGAAAAGAACGAAGCATTATGGTAAGTCTTGTTCCCTATATCTATAAGTATCTTGTCTTTCGTCCTAGGAAAAGAGATGGACAAAGAAAGCGAGGTTCCAGAATACCAAGAGAACGAACATGCATGTAATTACTTAAATGGCATGACTGTGTAAAGCAGAAACAAGGAATGAAATAACTAAATGCCATACCATTTAGGTCCATTTCAATCCTCCAAACGGGAAAAAGATTACAGGTTTAGGCCACTATGAAATTGCATGAGATAATGCATACAATAACAATGTGGTAAAAATAACTTTTTTAGGTAAATAAAAAGATAGCAGTGTAAAAGTGACATCAATAGTCTATATATAAACAGCTGGAAGAGATTTATGTAAATAAGAAGCAAAAAATTTTGGCTTTTGAGTTACAAAGACAACATCGGGAGTTAAAATGTACAGAAGCAACAGATACATCAGAAGCTAAATTGACGACAACAAGATCAACGAAAGAGAAGTTGAAATTCTAGAAAGTGAATCCAACCTTAGTGACGTTAGGATGATCAAGTTTATGCCAAACAGCAACTTCTTGTATAAATGCTGCCCTTAATGAAGCAATTTCAGCTTCTGTCCTGTGGCCTTCTTCGCCCCAATCCAACATTTTAACTAAGAATTGAGGAAGTAATCAAAATAATCATTGTCTCTTAGATGCAGCAAAGCATACCGTTCATTCAGATGCAACAATAACCAAGCAAGCAAATTAACTGGAAAAACGATAAACAGGCAAACAAAATTCTCCCGTCAAAATTTAGGCCTTAGCTTCAACAATAACAATTCTATATACCCTTGTCAACAAGGCTCTAAGTAGAAGACCCAATGGGATCACAAAAAATTCAGACACAAATCATCATTTAATCCATTGTTCTTTCCGCAAATTCTGGCCTAGTACGAGTATCACTCCAGGATTGCAAAACAATGGATTTTCCCCCCTGAACGAGCATAACAATAGATTTAAAACGGCCCATCGATAAATCAAGTATAGTATCAATTCTTTCTTCATAAAATAAAGAGTCAGTCACCGGGATGGGGATAATTAGTTCATGAAACGGGGGAAATGAAAAAGAGCATAGATTATCCAAAGATTGGATTAGAAGGAAGGCGGTAAATTTGAGACCGACCGGCGACATCTTGGCCATCATAGATACCACGATGAACGGTGCCGAAGGTACCACGAGCTATAACACTCTTGATAATTAGCTTGGAAGGGTCAATCTCCCACTCCTGTCTTTGCCTCTTGAAGGTAGCTCCGCCACCACCACTTAGACTTTTAATGGAAGTAACGCCGATATTAGTCGGAGGCACATCTTCGTCTTTAGTCTTGTGCTTCTCCAAAGTCAATGCCTTGTTCAGATGCCTCTCCAGCTGTTCATCGATGCTCTTCAGATCAATCTGATCCGCCCTCACAAACCCATCACTCACTTCCTTCATCTTTGCTCCTTCTTCTCCTTATTCACCCCCTCTCTCTCTATCTCAATCCTTCTCTCTCTTGTTCTGTGGGAAACAGAGACCAATGATTTGGGGGTAAGCTATACGATTTAATTATTCGACAGATACGGCATGGGTGTATGGATTGTCGTTGATGCAGTGATTGTTCATCTTCTTCCTCTTTCTCTCCCCAGATTTGCTACTTCCTCTCCAATCATCCATGTGGGCACATGGATTTGCCTACGCATAGCGAGTGCCTCTGACCCACTTGGGTCTTCCCTTTCCTTTCTTACCTATTTATTATAGCTTTCAATTTTTATATTTTATTTTATTCCCCTTTTACCAAATCAAAGCCGGACCGAATATATAAACTAGATTTCAGCTAAATTTTCTCTTAACCGAGTACCTCAAACTTTTCTTGTTTTCAAAAAAGGAAAAAATCTCATATATAATTCTGCTGGGTAAATTTTAAATTCTTGTCCTTTAGTGCTCGAGTCAAAAAAGGAAACGTCAATTGATCCGCCTAGCTTCTTACGTCTTAACTAAGACCAAGGCAAAGAAAGAAAATCTTCTTTATATAAATGAGTTGATATTATAATATCATTTGACTTCTTCGTGGTTCTGGGAATTGCAAATTCTCTCCTCAGGGGTGGCACATATCCTCGCGCAGGAGCAAAAGAATCCAAAGACGGCGAAATTCTTTATTATGATTTTAGTAACTTTATAATCTTCCCTCAGATGAAAACTGAGTCATTGCCGAAGCATGATGGAAACTTTGGATCAAAGATTATAAATATTAAAATAACATCTGAATTGATAAACATTATTTTAAATTTTGGTGTGCTAATTTTTTTTAATTAGTGTGACTGAAAACATATTCAAGTCATAATCTTACCTAGAGGTGAGCGAAACTGGATCCAGAATCTGAACCAAATCATATTAAGTTTAATCTATTCAGTTTGATTAATTTTGTTGACCTATTAGGTTTGGTTAAATTATTTTAGGTTATTTAATCAAATCAACTCAGTTTGGTCTTTCTCATTAAAAACATAAATAGATCTAACTGAGCAGATTGTATTAATTTTTTTAGGCTAAATGAAAACAGCTAACTTTGGTGCACACTAATATAGTAGAATTAGTATATAATTTTGTTCTGAAAATAT